AAGAGCCCAGAAATTTATTGAAAAATGGGGATAGCTTACCTGAACAAGAAAAATGATGAGAAAATAAAAGTTAGCTATTCTTCTGAATTGCTCAAACAAATTTTTCGGTACAAAGTTCCAAAACGTGTACTGAAAACGAATGCAAAGATTTTCAGTGTTTGTGAGAGAGATTATTATTTACACTTCACACTCTAAAAAAAATCAAACAAACTCCTAATTCATAACCCAAGATTAAATACAACAAAAATATTGGATAATAGCTTTGTTACTTTATTTAATATATTTACTGAAATGGAACTTTAAATAGCAGTCACATATTCTTGGAATCACATTAATTGCTTCAGACAGGTTTTTCTCAACTGTGGCAATCTTGGTACTATGTGCTGAAATTGGTTTTTTAATAACAACAGCGCTCATTCAGATATTTAGTTACAGAATGGTTCATTTAAAGCTATCAAAGGATTTAAAAAACATTTTAGTCATCCTATTTCTAATAGTGCTTTTAATTCACTTCCAATTTGTAGGTATGACTTGTGGAGGTAGGTGGCATTCTGAGTGTTAACTACGCACAGATAGCAAGTTGGGGAACAAGTAAAAGTTGTCAGCCCCTCTTTTGTTCCCTGGCATTAACATAAAACATACTCCTCACAATAAACTACATTGAATAAAAGTATATCACTGTATTTTTCTACTGATCTTATAAATAGTTGAAGTTCAGTGAAACGAGCTGAGGTACAGTATATAAAAGTATAAACAGAAACTGTAAAAACCTCAAAGAAAAAAAACATAGAAAAGTGAGAGAGAAAGGACCGTAGGAGGTCATCTAGCCCTCTCCCTTGCCCTGCAGCAGATTCGATTATGTGCTTTTCATTACACAGCTCACTCTGTAGCTCCAAAAACTGCATCAGAGTATTGCACATCAGAACATATGGGAAAATGCCAGCTAAAACTGTGTAAAATGTGTGAAAAATGGGTTAAGAAAACTAACACTATATCACCTTATTATCCAAATTATCATTTGGCACATAATAAAATGTCAACTCCAGTGTAACTTTCATTTCAAAGAAGAAGGCCTGAGAAGCTTCAACAAATTATTTCTTCTGCTACAAATGTGCCTTCTCTGTTCTTGGTAGACTGCACTGATAATTGCTGACATGCACATTATACCACTCATTATATTACTTCTGAATTTCACCCTGAAAGCAAAGACAGCTAGAGCTCTAAAAGGGAAGCACCTCTATTCTATCTAAAAACGAGGTGCAACCCTGAGAAGCAGGGTTTATTTGCACATACAACCCCTACTATGCAGGATAATCTTTTTACTTGTTTTGGGTTAAATGCCATACCTGTCTAGGACATAAGAATGAAATGTTCTTTTCCTTACGATGGGCCAAAAATCAGTACATATAAATATAAATGTTCCCTAAGTAAACACTTACCCTGCTTAAGAGTTACCTCAAAACTCATGGAGGCACACATGCAACAGCTGGAAAGTCAGGTGCTGCTGTCTTACAGTCAGAATTCTTTCCATCAGACTGGAATGCTATTTGCACTGCGCCTACCTCTCTACTTGTGTTGGCTGAAGAATTTCAAAACAGGGCTGGTTAGACTAGATTAGGAGTTTTGCTTGCACAACAGTCCCGATCATTTAAAGCTGCTGCTGTGATATGTGACGGTACAGAGAAGGAAGATCCCACTCATAATGATTTCAGCCTAGTAGTTAGTGACAAGGACAACAGCAGCAGTAAGGTATCTTTTTCCTTACAATCTTAGAGCTATATTCAGAGAGAGGTTTAAATGCTGATGGTGATGCACAGACAGAAAACAAAACATGAATTAGCAGATTCTCAGCTGAAAGATAATTTCTATGCAGGACTGTAGAGCATCTGGAGTTTTGACTTTCAGTTTTAATTTATGAACAAATAAAATAATTTTTATATTAACATTTTTCAGTTGTCTTTATGAAGCACAATTCAAATTTCACAATTTTCCAAATGAAAAAATCCTGCTTACATTCTGAACTGTTGTGATCTCACTGGCACTCTTAATGGCTACACACAGCAACAAAGCTCTTGTTGGTGGGTTTTGTATATGTGGTTACACTAGGCATGGAGATTGCAAACCACAACCGAGACTTCAAAAATACATGCTATTTTCTTATTTCTGTATTCACTACTATCAAAACTCCAGATTTCTTCTAAAATTTCCGAAAACAACATGCACAAAGTCACTGCAGTCTAACATAACTTAAACTGACAATTCCATTCATGGGAAAAAAGGGGTCAAATCAATCACAGCTTGAAATGAAGCTATTCAAATTTGCGATTGTTGCCTGGTGAGGCATCACGGCTTTTGAGGCACAACTAGAGGGAACATGCTAGGTCTACGCTTAGAAGAATAAATCTTAGGACTGTGGAAAGACTTCTGACCTTTTTCTCTATGTTGTTGCTACTCCAGTGTTAAGAAAACCTCAGAAGAGGTGAAAGAAGCAAAGAAAATGTCATCATGGGAAAGCACAACGTAATCACTACTGCTAAACAAAAGAGGTTGCTAAAGAGAGGTTCTTTGAATTCACCATTTTTTATTAGGAAAAGTCTTTGTTACTTTTGGCCACTACAGTTTGACAAACAGTATAAGGTTCAAACCAGCTCTCTATTGTAAAAATGTGAACTCCAGAAAGCCTTGTAAATTGTCATTTAAAGTGCCATATTCAGTGCCATATTCAGTTATTTCATATGCTGCAAATAATGGTATGTAAGAAGAAATCAGTTATAATAATTCCATATTTCCAACATTGATTATCAGGAAAATTATCTCTGTTTTCTAATCTTATGCATTTGCTTCATTATGAATCTCTGCCTGCACTGAAGGTAAAATGAATAGATGTTTCAGTGAAAACTTTTGCTTACCTTTTTCTCTGCTTAGCAGTTTTGATATAACAAGTGTTTTTCCATGGTTTCACTGCTAAATTTTGATGATTCACACAAGTTCCCCAAGAGACTATTCATAAAGTAAAAATACAATCTTTTAAGCAGTAACTTCCTGTTTAAATCTCCCATATGCTAACTTAATTAAATGTATGGTGGCAGCATGCTGCTGTCAGATCAGATATTTAAAATACCAGATTGAGGAAGCCAAGTTAAATAGCTAAAACAAAAATCTGTAAAAAGGTCTGAACATTCACCTTTACCCTAAGTATCTGATCCTCCTCACAATCCAACCTCAGTTTACTACTTTCCCGGTCAAGCGCTGGGTCTCCCCTTTACTGCAAAACTTAACCTTTGGGCAGCATCTCTTCTGTCTAAGTATATTTGAATAGCCTGGGAGCAGACAATTTTTGCAGTTTGAGAGGTGTTGCTTTAAATAGGCATTTCTTAAAAACAGAGAACTTCCTGAAACTTTCATTTACCCTGACAGGTTTTTAGCAATTTTTATTAATTATACTGGATTTAACACATACAAAGTACAACTTTACCCTGCCCATTCTTCTTCAAAGCAGTAACACTTTATGAAGGATTTTAAGCAGGAAAGAAAAAGCACCAAAATGTCTAGACAAACCTAAATATGTATTAATTATTTAGCTGATGCACATTTAGGCTGATGCACATTCTCACAAAGTAAAATGTGACCACAGCTAACAGGACTTAACCTTATCACAGTATTCTCAATCTAGGGTTGCAGGTAGCATTTTTAATTTGGATTTATTCATGAAAATACTGTAATTAGCCACAGAAATCCAAACACTTAAATTGTAACCTTCAGCTAAAACCTTGAAGGGAGCTGAAGCAAGAAGGAAATTTGAGAATGGCCTGTATCTATGTAAATGTAACAGCCCTCATTTCCATCCAGTAGAACAATACTTCCCACTGTTCATCAAGTCTTGTATCATTGTTGGCTTGCGCTGCACTCTATTTCCTGCAGAAGGGCATTACAAATATTACCTGACTAGTATACATACTCTTACCGACGCATCACAAACATTAAAAGCATTAACTGAAAATATTTAAATATCTGACTGTTGATTCTCTTAACTGCTAGCGTTCATGCTGCTCAGAGAATGAGACGAACTCAGAATGCCAGTTCCAAACAAATGTTTAGTTGTGCTAAAATATTACAATTATCATGATGTAGCAGCACCAACAACACTTACTACAGGAATATCTGGCCTACGAAACGAAGGCTAGCAACGCTTGTACTGCTCTAGTCTAATTTCTTCATGTTTCGGCGTTGGCAGCCAAATGATCCTTGAAAGTTGAGAGAAAAAAGAAAGAGAAAGAGATTTAAAGAGACATAGGAAGAATGAGAGTGAGACAGGCATCTCCAGATACCAGCATTTTAATCTTCAATTTCTCAAAAAACTACCAAGTAGAAAATTAAAATTTAAAAAAATCTTTACCTTTCAGTTAAGAAATATCAGAAAACAATGAAAACCTGAAGGAATATCAATTGCAAGAATGGAATTAAGACCCTTAAAATTCTCTAAATTAAATAAAATTGTCAGTGCTCTGATCCACACAATTATACACCCGTGGATGATAGAGGAGCCTGGAACAAAAGAGTAGATGCAGAAAGTCTTTAAAAGTCGCTGCAGAAAACTATGGATTATCATCCAGCAATGGAAACAGCATGGATAGAAATTAAAGAATTCAGTTTTATTAATGACCTAGAAAGAGACACTATTGGCTACGTTAAGGCAGAGATCACTTTCATTTCTGAAAAGACATGTTGCCTCGACTTCAGCTTTACTAAGCTTTCCAAACAAACCTGGAACGCCACATCGAAACCAGTCAGTGAAAACAAATATTTTCGGAACACGCTACCTGCACAGTTCACATCTCCTGGTCATAAAGACATTTTGGAAGTACCCCACAATATCTTTTCCACTTCCTCCCAGTCATCACTAGCTCAGAGCAGTATCTACAAATGGATGATTAATGCGTGACCATCATAATCAATCCCAGGAAAAACAACAGAGTGGCTGCCGCTCAGAGCGAGAATTATCTCGTGGCTGCATTCAAGGCAGTCACTCAATCCTAGTTAGGCAGGAACAAAATAAAAATCTTCAATGAAAACACATTAAAAATGAAGATATAAAATACATTAGATTGCTACACCCAGAGAGAGAGCTA